CGCCCAGTCTCGGAATATTCTGAATCTGCTTCACCACAACCGTCCCCTGCACAGCTGGCGGCTGCACAACGGCTACCAGCTGATGCACCATTAGCATTTCGTCACCGTCGTCCTCAGCTCCGTCTTCCATTCTCATACGCTGCATTCTGATTGTCCGTCACGATGTCTTGATGTCGTCCTCTCCGTTTTCACCACTACATTCCAAATGCATACATAAAGCCCCGTCCACCGTAATCTGCGGCCAACTCGCAAACCCATGATCCAATCACTCATGTCGCCTCTTCCCTCACAGCATGGTCGAGTGGTTAAGGCGTTAGCCTGCTAAGTTAATGGGGCAACCCGCGTGAGTTCGAATCTCACAGCTGTCGTTTTCCTTTTCTCCGACAGTCTCGCGGCGAAACTTACTGTGGCGGTACACAGGCATCTTTCAGACTCCACAGGAATGTCCATCCCGTTGCGCACACCAGTCGATGCGCTCAAAGGTCAGTGTACCTCCCTCATGAAGCAGGGGCTCAATAGTCGAAACACTGACTTTAATCTGCGCGTACTGGGCTTGACTCTGCTGCGGGTCAAACATGCGGACGAGACGTGTGCTGGGGTTAATGTGGAACGCAACCCAGTGCGCGTCTGTCAGGTTGATGCACCCAATGATACGATCCTTGTTATCTCTGAAGGCTCCAAACGACGCCGCCACCTGCTTCTTCGTCTTGTCCTGTACGAAGCGTGCGTAGCACGGGTTAATGATCCCCACGTTCCAATACCGCTCCCGAAGAGCCATCAAAGTCGCCGTAATGCACGTAGTATTAAGCCACTGCTCCTCTCGCCATTGGAGTAGCTTTGTACCCTCGAAAATTTCTCCCTCCAAGAAGGTCTCTCCTAAATTTATATCTTCAACTTTGCGCTTGTGCTCGTCCTGAAGGAAAATTTCAACACAAGTTAATTTTTCTGTGAGCACTCGAGTATTTTTTGTGTAAACAAAAGTACCTTGATGGTAGACTCAATATTACCAAAAGGAGCCATCACGCTTGCTGTGGGCCATTGTAGATTGTCGATCCATGCGGTAGTGAGCTCAACGTCACGGAACGTCGCTGTAGCATCCTTAATCTTGATCATAGCTTGCAACTGGTCTAGTGTAACGGGACCAAAGTCATCCCATTGCGCCAACAGACCTCTACAGGATGAACCCGCAAGAAGAGCTGTTTTTGCTTCTTCTAACTTGGTTCTGCATATTAGACTGTTGATCTGGGATGTAGTTGGCCCGAGATCACCTTTTCGGACACGGAGTTTGGGGTCGACATTTTGGAGATTTAGAGCTTCCACTAGTTGCTGGCTGCCGTAGTTGTATGGACCGTCGAGAAGCTGCACCACGTCATCTAGACCCACACAAAGCTGTTACTTGTTGGATTTGAGTCGGTTGGCAACCTTTCGCGCTTTAACTAGATTGAGCTTTCTGGTAACGCGAGCTTTCTGTTTCCGGGATAAACCCAGAGTCTTTGGAGGCGGAGCGATTTTGTGTTCGCGTACACCGTTCGAAGTTCTCTCTTTTGTTTTTGGGTTGCTCGAGGTGTCATCCCTCTCGGTTGTTGAAGTAGACAGTGATTTTACTTGAACACGGGAAGCTGGTTTGCATTGATCCGTTGGCGGTAGCTGCCGCAGCCCTGCTTCCATGTGAAGTTCCACAAAAGACGCAATACGCCCTTCCTGTAGGTAGCTGCGAAAGCATTCCAGCCATTCTAAAGCCACTTTGTAAGTCGGCGTTGATTGCTCGGCCATCAGGTCCTGATCTGATCCATTAGCAGACGCGTCTTGCTGTACTTGGCTCACTCCGACATGGGAGCCAAACCTCACCAAAATTCCGCTTGAAGTAGCCACCTCCTTCCACTTCTCCGACGGTGATATCGTTCTCAACATCAAAGGCATCACCACTTGTGGAAACCATGCTTGCGTTGTTCTCACCACTTGCATGATCTCCATCGCTTCCGTCATTTTCCCCAGAAGAAGGTTCGAAATCAGATGAAGCCTGCTCCCCGCTCGAATCAACGTCGCTTGAGTTCTCCTCACTGCCATAATGCGAAGCTTCATCCTCCATTTGCTCCTTCTCTTTCCACTGCTTCTCAA